ATTTGTTTTAATTTCCATGCTCTCCCAAACTCAGCAGTAACGGGTACAGGACTTTTTAGTCAGAGGGCCATGTTTGCACACTCACAGCCTCCAGAAACACATCCTCCCATTTATAGCCCATTTCTGCCTCCCTCCCCCCAAAAAACCCAACTCCTCCAGATTACAGGTGAAATTGATGGTGTTCCCAATAAATGCTACAATTAGGGATTTGTTTTCACAATTGCACTAGAATTACTGCAAGAAATTAAAACAGACTTTTCAAAAATGAGGATGATTGACCCTTCCACTATGTACCCCCGTGCTTTTTTTTTTCATTAAGCTTTTTATTTTGAGCTCACTACAGATTCACATACAGTTAAGTTGTAAGAGATGTGCGTTCTCTACCTAGTTTCCCCCAATGGCAACATCTTGCAGAACTAGAGTGCAGGAGAAATTGAAACCCTCACACACATTGCTAGTGAAAATGTAAAAAGGTACAGCCACTGTGGAGAACAGTTTGGCAGTTTCTCAAAATGTTAAATATAGAGTTACCATATGACCCAGAAATTCCATTCCTGGGTCTATACCCAAGAGAAATGGAAACATATGTCTGCACAGATCCTTGTACTTGAATGTTTATAGCAGCAATATTCACAGTAGTCAAAAGGGGAAGAACACCTAGCTGTCCATCAGCTGACGAGTGGATAAGCAAAATGTGGTGTTTGCATACAATGGAATATTATTCAGCAATAAAAAGAAAGGAAGTGCTGATCCATGTTATGACGTGGATGAACGTTGACAACAGTATGCTGAGTGAAAGGAGCTAGAGATAAAAGACCACATATTATCCCATTTCTATGAAATGTCCAGAACAGGCAAATCTACAGAGACAGAAAATGGATTTAGTGGTTGCCTAGGGCTGGGAATAGGGGTCAAGGGAGCAATAGGTAGTGGTGGCTAGTGGGTGCAGGAGTTCTCTTTGGGATGATGAAATATTGCAAACACAGATGGTTACACAACTCTGTGAACATACTGAAGACATAGGTTATGGTATGTAAATCCTATCTCAATAAAGATTTTTTTTAAAGATTTATTTTTTTATTTTATTTTATTTATTTTATTTATTTTTTTATTTATTTGAAAGAGAGCCCAAGAGGGAAGGGCAGGGGATCTCAAGCAGACCCTACACTGAGTGTGGAGCCTGACTCGGAGCCCCATCTCTGGACCCTAAGATCAGGACCTGAGCTTAAATGAGTTGGAATGTTCAATTGACTAGGCCACTCAGGAGTCCTCAATATAGATTTTTTTCTAAAAAATTAACCCAATTTGGGGGTGCCTGAGTGGCTCAGTTGGTTAAGCATCTGCTTTTGACTCAGGTCATGATCCTGGGGTCCTGGGATGGAGCCCCGTGTTGGGCTCCCTGCTCGGTGGCGAGTCTGCTTCTCCCTCTCCCTCTGCCCCTCTGCCCACTTGTGCCTTTTCTCTCTTTCAAATAAATAAATAATCTTTTTTTAAAAATAACCCCATTTATTATCTCCTCCACACAATTAAATGAGCTTGGTTTGACTTGTGGGAGGACAAATACAGTATATCACAAGCAGGATGTTGACACCGATTTATTTGATCAAGATGCAGAATGGTTCATCACCACAAGGATCCCTCATGCCCCCTTTTACAGCCACAGCTTCTACTGTCCCCAATCCCTACCCCAACCTCTGTTCCCACAAATCTGTTCTCCACTTCTCTAACTATATAAATGGAATAACACAGTATGTACCTTTTGAGAATTGGCTTTTCTTTCAACCTAATTCCCTAGACATTCATGCAAGTGGTTGTATATACCAAGTCCATTCCTTTTTGTTGCTGAGTACTACTACTCTGTGGTTGGGATATAACATAGTCTGTTTAACCATTTGCCCACTAAACGACATCTGGTATTTCCAGTTTGGGCTATTGAAAATGAAACTTCTATGAACATGGTATACAGGTTTTGCATGAACACAAGTTTTCATTTCCCTGAGATTAAAGCCCAAGACGGCAAATGATGCGTCATATGGCAACTGCATGTTTAGTTTCCTGAGACACTACTTAGTTGCTTTCCAGAGCAGTGGTGTGACTTTCCATCCCCACAGCAATGCAGAAGAAATCCTGTGTCTTGTCATCCTCACCAGCATTTGGTGTTGTCACTGTTTTTATTTTGGCCATTCTAATAGGTATGTGGTCACAGCTTACTGTGGTTTTATTTTGTACTTCCCTAATGGCTAATATTGTTGAACATCTTTTCATGTGCTTATTGCCATTCGTCTATCTTTTTCAGTGAAATGTCTCTTCATATCTTCTGTCCATATTCTGAATTCTAACTTTTATTTTTCTATTATTGAGTTTTGAAAGCTCTTTAGGCATACCAGATACTAGCCATTTGTTGGCTGTATGGTTTTAGAAGTATTTTCTCCCACTCTGTCACTTGTCTTTTTATCCTCTTAACAGGATCTGCCACAGAGGGAACATTTTTAATTTTAATGAGGTCCAATTTATTAATTTTACCTTTTATGGATCATGCTTTTGATACCAAGTCTTACTCTTTGCCTCGCAGATCCCAAATCCCTGATTGGGATCCAGCACCACTGTTTTTGCACCTTCCTCAAACACCATTTTGACATATTTCTGTGGGTCTATTTCTAGATTCTCTATTTGTTTCTATTGATTATTGTGTCTATCCCCCTGCCAGTACCACAAAGACTTGATTACTCCCACTTCATTCTTCATTTTCAAGATTGTTTTAGCTCTTTTACAACCTGTGCCTTTCTGTATAGATTTTAGAATAAACTCATCTTGTCTACACAGAATCCTGTTAGGATTTTGGTAGGAATCGCATTACAGGTAAAGAGATCAGCCTGGGGGAGAACTGACATCTTTACTATGTTGGATCTTCCAAAACATGAATATGGGGTGTCTCTCCATTCATTTAGGTCTTCTTTCATTTTATCCACACACTGTAATTTTCAGCATACGGATCTTGTACATGTTTTCTTAAGTGTGTACCTACATGTTTAATTTTCTTTATAGTGATTATAAAATATGTATTGTTTTTAATATCACTTTTCACATGTTAGTATAAGTGCAATTAATTTTTGTGTGTTGATCTTGTAGCCTGTGACCTTGCTGAACTCACTAGTTCTACTTCTGGCTGTTTTGGTTTGGGTTGGGTTTTTTTGTTTCGTTTTGTTTTGTTTTGCTTTGCTTTAGTTTTGTCTTTCAGTAGATTCCTTGGAACTTTCTATGAAGACAACCATGTCATCTGCACATAGGGATGATTTTATTTCATCCTTTGCAATTTGTATGCCTTTTTCTCTTTCTTACCTTCCTGTAGTGACTGGAACTTCCAGTACTATGTTGAATAAGCATAGTGTGTTAAAAAAAAAAAATAAGCATAGTGTGAAAACAGGCATCATTGCCTTGTTCCTGAACCTACAGGGAAAGCATTCAGGCTCTTGCTGTTAAGCAAGACATAGCTGTAGGGTTTTGTTTTGTTTTACCATCAAAGGTCTTACAAAATTAGTTTTGTCCTCTCCCTGCCCCTCTCCCTTTTTAAGGAGAAGCTTAAGACTTAGGGATTGGCCCAACTGAGATGACTGAGCAAAAAGGAAATGCAAAGGAGATTTTAGTACTTCCTCTTCCAGGCCAGGCTTGCAAGAGTGATAAAACTAGCTTCCTTTCAAGGGGTGGGTCCGGAGGGGAGGGGGGGTGGGGTGGGGGCTTTAGAGCCCTAATCAGCGTTTGAGAACTAATCTTTGTCAGGGCCCTTGCAGTCTGCAGTGAGCAAAGGGCATCCCGTAAATGGGGCAGAAATTGGCCGTGGCCCAGGAGAGCCTCAGGGAGCCGGGCGCCTGTCCCCTCTCCTGCCCGCCCTCCCAGGCACCTCTGGCAGCCTCGCTGCCTGCCAACCTGAGCTGCCGATAGGAGAGTCTCAGATACCCAAGATCCAGGGTGACAGGAGTGGCCACGGCCAGATTTAGATTTGTGCGAGCTTTTGGCAGTGTTTCACCCAAAGGAGAGACTGGGCTGTGAAGAAAGGAAGCCAATGAAGACTTCCGTGGCTGGGTAACGCTGATGGCAACAAAGTGCATCTGCACTACGCGTAACCCACGGAACGTCGTCTTCTTTTTTAAATAGGGGACGAGGAGGGCCGGCTTAACGTAAAAGCTAAAGAAGACAAGCGATCACCTCCGCCACCACCCCCTCCCCACCCCCGCCCCGGAGCGCGGGGACCCGGCCCGCGGGGGTCCCGCAGCCCCCAGCCCCCCGCCCCCGCGCGTCGCCCCGCCCACCCGCCGCGCTCCCCTCTCGCCCCTCCCCCGGGCTGGCCTGACCACACCTGCGCAGGTTAGCCCCGCGGGGACGCGCCGGCCGCGGCGGCGGGGAAGGTGAGCGGACGGGCGCCGCGGCGTGGGAGGGCCCGGCGAGGACGGGAAACCGGCCTCTGCTAATGGCCGCCCGGCGGCCGGGGCGGGAAGCAGGGCCGCGGCCGGAGGGGGGCGCCCCGGCCGCCGTGGCGCGGGCCGGCCGCGGGCTCCTCGGGGTCCTCTTCCCACGCTTCCTCCTCGCCGGTCCGTACCAAAGCCGCCGGGGGCCGGGGGGGGGGCGCGGACCGATCCACTCGGGGAGGGGCGGCAGGTTAGGCCGCGGCCCGCACCACCTGCGGCCCCCCGGGCGGGGGCGGGGGCGGGGGCGGGGCGGCGGGGGCGGGCCGGGGCCGCACCGCCCTCCCGGTTCCGCTCCGGTCCCTGCCGGCGGGCGGGGCCGCGCCGCCCCGGCCCCTCCGCCCCAGGCCCCTCCCCGCGGCGGCCCCGCGCGGCCCCGCCCGCCCCCGCCGCCCCCGCCGCCCCCGCCGCCCGCGCCGCCCGCGCGCCCGCGCCCCGCGCGCCCCCGCCCGCGGCCCCGCCCGCACCCCGCGCCCCCGCCCGCGCGGCCGGGACGAGCGCCGCCGAGCGCATGCTGATCCCTGTCCTCCTCCTCCTCAGGCGGCGCTGGCGGCGGCCCCGGGACCCGCGGAAGCCGGCATGCTGGAGAAATTCGAGTTGGAAGAAGAAGGTGAGTGCCCCCCGCCGGAGCGCGCCCCGTGTCGCCGCCGAGGGCCCGGGGCGCGGGGGCCGCGGGGTTCACGCCCGGAGGCTGAGCGGCCGCCGCTGCCGAGCGCGGCCGGGGATGCGGGCGCCGGGCCGGCTCGGGGGACGTGTGCGCGGGGCCCGCGGGGCCGCTCGGGGCGGGAGGGGAGCCCCGGCAGCCGGCCGCCGGCAGCCGGCCGCCGGCCGCCCGCACCGAGGGGCGGCCCTTTTGTCCTCAGCAGCCCAAGTCGGGGGAGAGCAAGGTGTCGTGCAGCCCGATTGTGTGATGCCGCCGCTCCCGGAGAGGTGACCCCAAATTGTGTTGACGGCCCCACCTTTAAATAAGGCAGACGGGTCCCTTATCTGGGTGTCCGAAAATACCACCGGCAGGGTGTGTCTGCTGGTTAATGGAGAAAGTTAAATAGGAAAACCAGAAGCGGCTTAGAGCCTCGGTTTGGAGTTCAGGTGACCCTGTCACTCCGTCGTTTCTGTCGCCTCGTCTCCCGTTCGGTTTTCCTTTCTCTTGCCCTATGTTCTTCTCACTTGTCTGGATCCTGTTTGGAAGCTGTTAGCATGGGAGGGGGGGCGAGCTTGTTCTCTGGCAAAATTAATATTTTAAAACGGAATACGATGAGCGATCACCTGGATCTTATTTTGAAACTGTTAAAATTGGAAGGGGATAAGCTTGTTTTTGGGCAAAATCCATATTTAAGATGAAATGGGATGAGCTCGAAGCTGAAAAACAACTTCCTACAAGAGGCTTGACAATTTGAGGAATTTATTGTAAAAGAACTCCACACTGCCTGGCGCACTTGCGTTATTTACTTGGTGACTTCTCTTTTTCCAGAGTATTGATAGAATGAAGCTCCTGGAACAAAGAATTTGCCATGTGGATGCTGTGCCCTGTGCCAACTTTACTTTGATCCTTGCGTTCACTTACAGTCAGGCAATCACTTAAATATGCATACACAGCCGATATGAGAACGTTAACCAGACGGTATTAGGCCGGTACCTGCATTTATTTAGTTTTACATTTCCTGCAGCACTTCACAAACATGTTAGCTAGAAGATAATGCATGTGAAGTAATTATCATTAAAAGTCTGCATCTGTATTTATTATTAGCCACCAGTTACTGGTTACGTTTCAGAATCTTACTGGGACTTAATTTGCATTTTATTCTACTGAAAAATAATCCGGTATCTTAAATCGAATCCACCCCATTACTCATCAGTTCCGTGTCGCAGGTCATGTTTTGACCACTCTCCACAGAGCAGTATGGTGTGCCTCCCTTCCCACTGAGACTTTGAATATCGGGGGATCTTCTTCTTCTCTGAGATCAGAAACGATGAGAATCTGTTGCATTTTAACTTTTTGCAGACTCACGTGGGGGCAGGAGGAAGGTGGAGGGCGGACTCGTGAGAGAGGCACCCACAATTATGGTTAAGCACGCAGTCCCAGCTTCGCATCTTAGCTGCATTCCTTATGTAGCCCTGTGACTTGGACAAGTTCCTGAACTCCTCTTTGCCTCACTCTCCCTGTTTACAAGATGAAGCTAATACCAAGGTGTTTTGAAGATTAAATGAGATAATTTGTGTAGAGTGGTGTTTAGTACAGTGTATAAATCCTTAGTAAGTACTGTGGAAATCTTAGTTACTATTATTTTTTAAGTGCTCTTAACCTGTTTTACTGAATTCATTGACTTTTTAAGGCTTTTATTGATGAACCTTAACAGAGATTGTTCTCGACATGGATTTGTTGAAGGGTTTTTGTTACTTGAGATTTATTGGTTTAATTATGTGCCGTTTCTCAAAGCAGATCCGCAAGCCTTGTTTCTTTTGCATTGTGTCTGTCAACATAATGAACATGAAGTTTTAAACCTAAGCATCTAAGAAAGGGGATTTCCTGTTTTCTCTCATCTATTTTTATCTATATTGCTGTCATTACTTTAAAGTATGTGGAATCCCACAAATAACCATGTCAAACTTTTCTAAATTCTTAAGGAGGCAGAATGTTAAGCACTTGCTTGGAAGCCGTTAGCAGAGCTGGAAGAAATAGTGTTGGTGTGGTTGTCTAAAATGCTGCTTTGTTTCTTTTGAACTTTATATTGCTTATTCATCCATGGTATGGAAAAACTGAATATCCTGAATCTTAAAATTTATTTGGGAGTTAGGGGGGAGTCCTAACAGTTTAAGGCATTACACCTTTAAATATCCTGTGAACTGATGTGTTAGCAGCCTACATAATAGATAGCTGTTGAATAGATCCTCATTAAATCTTTAAATTTCCTTCTTATCCAGTTTAATGTTGTAATGTGCACCTTGCGCTCTGGACACATTGCTTAGACAGAGATACGTTTGGCATATGCAGACATAAAGGATGACTAATATTTTGGTTACCAAGTATTTTTCTATTTCCTAATCAATTATAACAGATACTATATTTGTTAGAAACAGTCTGGAGGTACTGGTGAAGTTGGAATCATCCCTTAAAACATCATTTGCTTCTGGAAAGGGAGAAAAAGCTGTACCACGATCCACCGTCCCTGGTCAGGGTCATCTGCCTGGGTTCTGACACCAACTGGCCTGCCCACTTTCTGCTGCCAATGCTTCTTACCCTTCCACTCTGACAGAGGAACCACTCCTTTAGGGGAAGATCTTTACCACCGTCTCCCATGTATATGTAGGATGAGTGCGTGCTTCTCTTCATCGGCAGCCTCACCACCTCCTCCCAGCCGTACATGCCAGTGATCAGAGAGCTCTGTGTGCCAGAAGTCACCGGAGATCTTTTTTTTAAGAGGCAGATACTAATTCTGTGGGTTTGAGGTGGGACCTGAGGGTCTGCATTTCCACCAAGCTACCAGGTGCTGCTGCTTCGTAGATCCCTCCATGAATAACAAGGCTCTGGAACAGAGCAAACTTTTTCTGTAAAGGGCCACATGGTCTCTGTCTGTGTCACGACTAAGCTTGCCCGAGTAGCAGCGAGGCAGAAAGCCACTGAAGGCCACACTCAACCCAATAGGCCATGCTCCACTGAAACTTTATTTAAAAAACAGGCCAGATTTGGCTCCCAGGGGTAGTTTGCCAGACCCCTGCTCTGTATGCCTTGCGCGCCCGGTCATAGCACGGGCAAGACCTCCTTTTCCTCTGGCTCCATCCTACCAGTGATGCGGCCCAGCCCTGCCAAATCCTGTCCACTTTTTGAGGCCATCCCCAAATCCCTTCTATGCCTTTATCACGATTCATCTTACCGTTCTTCGTGCCTGAGATGGCTGGCACATGGCAAGTGCTCAGCAGTGTTGGAAATTGTGAGGATGGCATCTCCACACTTGGGGGAATGTTGCGAGGCCTCCGTGATTCCGTGGATGCACAGTGATGAGAACAGTGCCTCACCCATAGCAGCCACCATATGTGTTTACTTTTCAAATTTTTTATTCATGTGTCCATTAGATTTGTGTTTGTTTTTATCAGGATGAGCAGTCATGAACTTATTTAATGGCAGGACCAAGTGCAAGTACCGCGTAGGGACCTGAACACCACCGTGAAGAGATGCCTTCTGAAGTAGATGAGTTCCAGCCTTTCACTCACAATTAGTGAATCTGTAATTCTGGCACCACTTCAAGAATTTTACAGCCCCTTGGAGCTATCTGTGTTATCTCCCGGCTTCCCTCTTATCCCGTCAGCTGTCACGGACTCTTCACTTATTTCGGGTTTTTAGTGACTTGTTGTGGATGCCTCACCCCACTTAGCTGGCTCTGCAGCTGGCTTCTCCCCTCTTCCCTTGCTGCCTGACTCCTCCCTGGTCCCAGACCATCCTTGCTGTCCTCAATGCCCTTCTTCACCTTCACAGCATTGTCCAAGGCGTAATTTTTCCAGAACTCACCTCCAACTCATTTTTCTAGCAAGGCTGGTCAACCGGGTCTACACTGATCAAAAATATATAAGAATTAAGGGCCTCCTTTTTTTTTAGGAGGGAAAGTATTATTTTTCCAGTCAAGAATCTCAGAACTTTAGGCCTACTTTTGTAATGAAGGCGCTGCATCCTTAGGTAATCCACAGTCTCTTGGGGTTTTGCTTGCTGTGAGTTTTCTATCTAAAACAAGGCCTGACACTTGGTGAACTTGAACTTTTCCTTCTAATTAAAAAAATGTGGCCTAAAGCAAGCAGCAGCCACTCTGTAAACTAACAGAACCAAAAATGCGTGCCCACCCAAACTCACTCATTCTTAACTGGGGGAGCAAAGTGAACAAAGACTGGTTCTTGTCAGGGGACAGAAGTTTTTGATATAACAGCTTTATAACAGGTTTGTGGCTCTCAATGGGCCACAGTCCATGAATGGATACACAGTGTGTCTGTGGCTTTAGAGTTTCATAGGGGTGGGACAGTTAGGGGGAGAATGTATGAGAAGTTTCAGAGGTGGATTGGCTAGTGAAAAAAAAGTCTGAGAAACACTGCTCCAACATCAGGAAGAATTATACGCCTGTGTTTTGTGGTGACCTGTCAGACACCCCCTCATCACCTGGCCTTAGGGCCACCGGCTCAGTGAGGCTCAGCTGAGTCCACTGGGTTGGCTGCTGGCGCTCCTGTGAGGAGTGCTGACCTCTGGTGGTAGAGATGCTTGGGTGATCGCCTTGCACTCACCCCTTGGCTGCTCCCCCCGTAATGATAAGATTATTGTAGATTATTGGAAGGCTCTGATGATCATTTGAACTCTGCCCTTTCCTACTGAGCTTACATACTCATCTTCAGCAGGAGATTCTCTCTTAATAATAGAAGTAGTCACAATTTTATGAAACGTTTACAATTAACATTTTTGTTCTCCAGCTAGCCCCATATTTAAAGACTTGCCGTATTTAATAGATTTGGGGTATTTGTTTTAATGTCTCTGAAGTCAGGCTATAGCTTGACGTTTAATGGTATATCTTAGATTTGATGAGACAAAGTAGTCATCTCGTAGGCTGGGGAGGTTTTATTACCTGAAATGGAAAG